AATACACAGTGGTGGCAAAGATTTGGGGAAACTGTTGGTGAAATTATGGATTGCTATAGCCTTTGACTCAGGAATTCCACTTCTAGGAATTTATCCAAATTAGATAAATATGGCTTGCTTTGTTCACAAATTTTATGTAAGATTTATTGTGACATTTAAAATAGCAAAAAGCAAATCTCAATATCCAAGAATAGAGAACAAGTTGAATTAAAGCCGTTGAAATATGCAGAAGTGTGTTTATTGACATAGAAAGATGATTAAGATATATTAATTTAAAAAGCAGGTAACAAAGTTATGTACAAAATTATACGAATTCTGTAAAAAAAGATATGTATTCATAGAAAAAGCCTGGAATAGTCTCAAATATCATCTGTGGGTTATTTCTGTGTGGAGAAATTATGGTTGATTCTTACCTTCCTGTTTTATGTATTTTTTGCATAATTGGGTATTATTTAGTCATTTAAAAAATCCACTTGGGTATTATTTATATAATAGTAAAAAAATAATAATCCCCCTTATTTATCATGCCCCATGTCTTACCCATCATCTCTCATATTCTTCTAGCCCAGGTTTCCTCCAACAGCTTTATCTTCTTGGAGGGCAGCTATGGGGAACCAAATTTGGTTCTTCATTCTGGCTCTAGCAGATAATAGATAATGTCCTTTTTTTTTTTTTAAGAGACAGGGTCTCGTTATCTTGCCCAAAGTGGAGTGCAGTGGCTATTCACAGGCATTGCTCACTGTATCCTTGAACTCCTGGGCTCAAGCAATCCTCCCACCTCAGCCTCCCCAGCAGATGGGACTACAGGTGTACTCCACTGCACCTGTCTAGATAATGTCCATTTTGCTTATTTTATTTTGCTAATGCATTTATTTCTTTTTTAGTTTGACAAATAGAGTATACAATGTACTACCCAGGCCCTGATTTAGGCATTGGGAATAAAGACTATCTCAGTTTGGTTAAAACCACCACCTTTATTGTTTGAATACCTGTTCTGCCACTTAATTGCTGTGTGATTTGGGCAGGTTACTTAACCTCTTCACTTGAAAGCAAATATTTATTAAGCTCCTCCTACATGTTAGGTATTAGAGATACAGTATTGAATAAACAAGCACCTGTTCACAAAGCTTACGTTCTAATGGGGACTGATTGATGATTAATATACACCAGGTAGTGATAAGTGCTATGAAAATAATGCAGGATAAGGAGAATAAAGAATTACAGGGCAGATATGCTATTTTAGGATTAGTCTAATAATTAAGCCTAATTTTAGGAGTATCTCTAATAAGATGATATTTGAGGAGAGACCTGAGGGAAGTGCAACAGCCAGCCGTGAAGTCGTGTATGGGGAAGAGCTTGAGGAAGGGCAGTGGTGTGCTGGCACTGGCTGGCACTTGTTCTGATTGTATCTCTTCCCCGCTCTGTGTTCAGTGAGGTCAAATTGGTAGCTTGAATTCAGCCTTGATGAGAATATTTACACACAGATGTCTGCAAATGCTACAAACCAGGGTTTTTTTCCCCTCAGAGAACCATTTGTTAAACATTTACCAGCACACCACTGCAAAGAGGGAACAGTAAGTACAAGGGCCCCGAGGAAGGAGCATGCTTGGTGTGTTTGAGGAACATCAAGGCAGCCAGGGTGGCTAGAACAGAATGAGAGGGAAATTCATACGGAGCTGAGGTCAGAGGTAGCCAGAAGCAAGATCGATAGGCCATGGTAAATACACTGGACTTTATTCCAAGCGAAATGGGGGCCATTACAGGGTTTTGAGCAGAGCAGTGACACCATCTGATTAAGCTTTGAACAGGACCGCACAAGGGAGGACTCCGGAAGTCCAGCTGGGAGGCGTAGGCAGTATTGTAGAGAAGAGGTGATGATGGCTTGGTATTGGAGGAGGTAGTAAGAAGAGCACCTCAGTTTCTTCATTTTTTCAGATATTGCAAAGATTGAAAAATAACATTTAAAAAGCACTAAGCATAGTTTCATGCACACAGGAGGCCCTCAATAAATGATAGCTGTTGCATGGGTATGGACAGAATGTTAACCCTAGGGGTGGAGAGGGGGTGCCCATATCTAGTTAGGAAGACAGATGATTTTAGTATCAAGTGTTAAATGCAATGTTTGAGAAAAATGCGAGCATAGAGGAGAGACACTTAGCCGAGCTAGAGGTAGGAAAGGTCAGCAAGGGTGTTGGAGTGAAAGGGGACTGCTTTAGCAAAGGCACGGGGATGGGGAATTGGAAGGGAAATTCAACTGCTTAATGTGTCCACCACACTTCCCCAATTCAGGTGATAATCAGATCACAGCTTTATGCTTTAACTTAGCAAAATAATCAGTGATCTGAAAGAACAGCAGTGATTTCATTACTCTCTGTGTTAATTAAACCCCTACTAGGCTGTGGATCATTGTGTTCCAATTCAAATTCAGTTGGTAATTTTACGAATTCCGTGGAGGCTTTGATTCTGATCAGCAGTCAGATATAAAAACTTAAGCTGGCAAGAACTTGATAGAACCTGATATGGAGAAAGGAGTTCATAATCTGGGGCTCAAGCATGGCCTTTGGGTGGTCTGTGAATCCCTTGAAGATATTTGCAGAATTATGTGTGCGCATATACATTTTGGGGTAGAAGTGGGACAGGGGTTAATAGCTTTTATCAGATTCTCAAAAGAGGTTTGCAGCCCAATGAAGATTAAAAACACTGCAACTGAGATAAATATTAGAGGGTAAAAAATAAAATCAGAACAGGCATGTTTTTGTCTGCCATTCTCTCATTAAAATAATTCGATAAAGTGATATTCTAAATCACATGAAATGAGTTAAAACACTTCATATAAAAGCAGTTACTTATAATAAGACTTCTGTCATTTTATTCAACTATGAACTATCATTTTGGGGCCAGTGAATACTCATTCCAAGTCAGAATTTCAACTATGCCAAGCTCTAATGGTAAATGAGCTTTAGTACAATAAAAAATGCTTATAGGCAAAATTTGCTCTGTTTATCATGCTGAGATCAAACCTTGTATTCTTCCCTTTGAAAATGTTCTCTGCATCTGATGTTGTTGTTGTTGATCATTGTTTATTGATTCCCTGGTATTCCCTTCATATAATACTGCAGTATCACCAGAGTAACAAATACTTCCCAGGGGCTTCTTCAAAGCCAAAGAAATAGGACTGTTTATTGAAATTTTACTGGAGGAGGCTTAATAGAAGTTAATTTCTCTGGCTATCTTCCAGAAACTTATGTGATTCAGGAAATTGCCTTCTTCTAATCATATGTGGATGGTGGTAATTTGCCCACTTAATTACTTTTGTCTGACAACGGGAAAGTTACATGAATACTGCATGGGTTGTAATAGTTTCCATTTCTTAAGTGCTGTGTTCCAAATGCACCTTGTTAAGTGCATTAAGTATACTATCTCATTGAATCCTTGCAACACCTAATAGATAGAGACTTTATCCCCATTGTATAGATGCCAAACCTAGGCTCTGAGATATCAGGTAACTAACTTGCCCAAGATCACACAGCCAGTGAGCAGCAGAACTAGTAGGTAGAAAAATGGAGACAGATATGTCCTACAAAGGACAAGTAAGCTGCAGAAAGAAAGCACCCCCTTTTCCGTGTACCACTGCCATTTTTCATTACATGGCATTTTCAGTGCTGCTGTGTCAGGCACTGTCAGAACAATGGATGAGAAACGTAATCTAGGACTTGATTATTGAAAAGGGTTGTGGGAAATTAATTCATCTAGTTAATTAACCTATCTCAGTATATTTTTAAAATAGTGATGAGGGAAAACAATTAAATTTGAGCACTTACCATAAGCAAAGCACAAATGTGAGGTGCTTTACTTATTGCATTGAATCCTCCTATAATGAGGGTCCTGAGGAAGGCATTAGTATCCCTGTTTTACACACGAGGAAGCTGAGGCTCGGAGGAGTCGGGCACGTTTCCCAAAGTCACATAAATAGTAAGATGGTATGATATGAACCAAGATCAGCCTTCAAAGGCTATTTACTTTCTACTATATCATACTGTCAAATTCACTTTAAAAGCTAAACTATGTGGGGGCCAAAGATCATGTCATTAAATTCTGTATACTCCACAGGACATAAGATAGTATCTTGTACCTAGTAGGTACTCAAGAAATGTTTGTGGGTTGACCACCCATCACAGTGAGTTAAAAAATAACGAGGTCTGTCCGGAAAGTATCCAGCCATTGTTAATATAACGAGAATGGTTTGCGCGACATCGATGTAACCTGGCAGCCAAGGCGAGCGGACTGTAATGCGTATGCGTGTACGGTACTGGTCAGTGGGGCGCCAGACGCCGTTCTGTCGCATTCAAAATGGCTGAGCGAGTAGAGCAACGACTCTGCATTAAATTTTGCATTAAGCTTGAACATTCCTCTGCGGAAACTATTCAGATGATTCAAAAGGCTTTCAGGGACGATGCAATAAGTGCAGAGCAAATAAAAGTGTGGTCTCACTTCAAAGATGGTCGAGAGTCTGCTGAAAGTGAACCACGTCTGGAAGGCCTGCAACAAGCAGAACACCTGAGAATGTTGGACGTGTACAAGTTAGGTTAAGAGATGCTGGGAGAACTGTGTGAGCTCCCAAGGTGCCTACTTAGAAGGGGACTGAGGGGTCATTGTCCTTTGTACAATGTTTCTTGTATCTTCTTCAATAAATGCCCCTATTTTTCATATTACATGGCTGGAAACATCCTGGACAGACCTTGTAGAATGCCAAAGGCACAAAGATGTATCTTATTTCCAAATATGTAAAGAAAAACTACCTTCACATTCCTTACGGGATATACTGTTCCTTGGAAGCAGAATTATAGACAGTCTTTTTAATAACCTCACATGTATAGTTCAGAGGTTAAAACCTGTATATATTATACAAAGGTTCCAATAAATGCACCTTGTGTATTATAACTGCATGATTTTGACATTTTCAAGACGGACAACCATGAATAGATTAGTCTTGGTAGAGAAAAAAGCAGCTTGGTATTTTAGAAATATGTATGATATACAACATAGTCAAAACCCAACAATTGCAAATCATATGAAGGCATAAAAGGTGTATTAGAAAATATTTAGGCACATGTGTAAATGCTTTGACACATGGCCTGACCCTCTTTATGGTCCATGTGTGTACTTTTCAGCTTGTGGCTGATACCTCCTGCCTCCGCACACGCAGGCTTCTTAAGTGTGTCTAGAGTTGAGAAGTGGTGCTGTCTGCCAAGGTTTCCTGGTGATGGTGTTGCTCTAATATTCCAGCGTCACTGTCTTGGTTTTGAGGTATTCGTTTAGAGCTTCCTCACCTAGGAAAGAGAAAAGCAGTTGATGGACCGTGTTTACAGATGGATATGATATGACCAGACTTCCAGACATAGATGTAGGTAGGTGTATAGGTCACTAAGCAAAGGGAATGTGGCCAAGGTCAGTGCTTCTCAAACGTTAAGTTCATATGAATCACCTGAAGACTGTTAAACTGTGGATTCTGATTCAATTAAGTCCGGGATAGGCCCTGAAGTTATGTGCTTCTAACCATTCCCAGATGATGTTGATGTTAGTGGTCCACGGACTACACTTTGAGTAGTAAGGGCCTAGAACAGCTACCAGGTCTTCTAAGGACCAGAGCGTGTTGGCTGGTCAGCTTCAACTCAAAAATTTCTCCTTTATTTCTCTGCTTGATGACAAACTTCACCTTTTACCCTTTGTTCATTTATGCTGAACAGAAGTGACCAAGAAACTTACTACTGTCCTTCACATTATATTAAATGAAACAGAATCGAGCACAGGAAAGAAAGTTTGAGATCATTTGGTTTAATCTTATTTTAAAGATCAGGAAAATGCAGTTTATTTATGTTGTATGTTAGAAACACAAAGGAGCATGTCTAGGCAAAAAATAAATAGTTCTGCCTTTCTTCAGTGGTTTCTATTTTGAGCTACTACAATCATCAATCTCTACAGTGGTTAAAGGGCAGTGACTACCGTGGTGAAACTAATGAGTGTGTGATTCTGGAAGCCGAGCTAAAACAAGGGCTGTCAACCATGTCCCCACATTAGAATCATGCAAGAAACTTTTAAAACTCCTGATCCCAGGTTACACCCCAGACCAATTAGATCAGTATCTCTGTATTTTTTAAAACTCCCAGGTGATTCAAATCTAATATATTAAGAACCACTGAGCTAAGGGGTTTTAAAATCGAGGGAGGAAGAAACTATTAGGCAAACTGTAGTATTTTATAGTAAAACAAACAGAGCTACTCAATTACACTCTATCAAAAGACAGGTGAAACACGGATACCTCGCTTTCTAATAATAATTTCCCTAGAAAAGTCTCCCACCGTTTTGGATACAGGGATGAAAGCCAAATTAAAGACATGGAAAAGAAAAAGCGTTTACCCTCACCCAATGGAATTTAAAATGAGAACTACTTTTATTGCTGCAAATATATTGCAAAAAGTCATCAGGAATGAGGAAAAAAACCCCAAATGAACCAAACTTATAACAGCAGATTGTAATTTCAGTAAATTGCAAACATTTCAGTTTTTGAAGGAGCATGCCAGGCTGATGATAGGGAGTAAGAGATGGCCTCCACAGCCAGACTGCCTGGCTTTTAATTCTCTTTGCCAGTATGTGGCTGTGTGACTTTGGGCAACTCACTCAACCTCTCTGAGCCCCATTTTTCTGTTCTTTACAATAAGATAATAATAGTACCCATCTCCTAGAGCTATTGTGAGGATTGCTTGTGCCTATACAGATTAAGTGGAATAGGGCCTGCATGTATTTAGTATTCAAAGTAAGCTATTGCTTGAAAGGCGTTAGTGTCACAGTGAATTACGTTTTCGGCCTTTTATAAACTCTAAATCTTATTGCCCAGACTCCCAACAAACCTTGCCAATTGCAGTGTTGACTCTGAAAGACTGCCAGGCAGCTCAGAGACAGGATTTATTCCCGGAGCTCGCTGGGTACTGCCCTCCACCCATTTTCCTTTCCTGGTTCCATTTAGTGCCACGAAAGCTAAACCAAGTTCATGCTGAATGTCAGATTAAAAAAACAGACATGTTTTAGCTAAAATATATTGTCAGAGTTTCTTTTTCCTTTCAACATTAATCTTCTTTTGAAAAGAAACATCTTTCCCCATAATTTGTATACTTTTCTGCATGTATGTTATATTCAATTAAAATGTTTAACATTTAAAAAAAATTAGTACGTTTGTAAACCCAGATCTAACTACCATGTAGGAAATGCCCTTCAAAACAATATTCAAGTGTCGCATGAAACATAGAGCAGATTTTTCTGTGATGTGGCAACAGAGAGAATGGGAAGTAGAAAAGTAAAGCCATACCTAAGTCTTTTCCAAAGCCAGATTGTTTAACTCCACCAAATGGGGCTGCCACGTCCGTCTTGTTGTATGTGTTAATAAAAACAGTTCCTGCTTCTAGTTTTTCACTCACGTACATAGCTTTGTTTATGTCTTTTGTAAAAACCCCTGAGGCCAAGCCATACTCTGTATTATTTGCTCGTTGCAACACTCCATCGATGTCCCTACAAGATGTTTTTAGGAAGACATAAAACTTCATTAAATGTAAAGTGAATTATGTTCCAAAATTTTTCCCCTCTCTGCTAGAAACAGGAAAACATTACTGCCACCTGCTTAAATTTTTTAAATGAAACATTTCAGGCTTATACCAAAAGAAAGTCCCAAAGAAATATTACAATTCTAATATCATATTTTTCTTATATCAGGCAACACCTTTTAAAATCTGACCCAAAGTCATCTTTTCAATCTTCTTCAACAGTTCTCGATGGTGACCTCTCCACTTCCTCCCCTGTCCCTTAAGTCCTGCTTCTAGATGTACTCTCAAAGTATCCTCCCTATTTCCTTCCATCTTTTCAGATTTTGCACCCAAGATTCCAGGCTCCTTCAGTGCCTGAAGCCTTTTCAGATGGCACCAGTGCCACTGTCAAGGTAGCGAAGTGTGGTGGTTTGGTGAGAGCTCTGTAGCCAGACTGCCTGGGTGACCTTGGGCAAATGACTTCATCTCTCCATGCCTTCATTTATTCTTGTGAAAATAATAATAAAAGGAGCTGTCTAGTTGTCTTGAGGGTGAAATGACCTAATAGTACCTAGAATACAGTAAATTTTCAATAAAAAGTCAGCTCTATAATCAGGTAGCACGTATTTCTCCAATTTCAGTATTTTGGTAGAATGAACTACGTGATGTTGGTTTAACTCTTCCTGTATTTAATGGTTCACCCTCCATAAATTGGAGGATAAAAGCTCTCCATGGGCTGGGATAATGTCATATGTCTATACCACGGTGTCGCATCATCAAATGAGAGTGAGTTCAATTACATATGCTTATGCAACAAAATAGGTTTGTTAATTTCCCTGCCTTTTGATGTAGTGTATGTACATGCCCAAGTGGCGGAGATATCAACCTGCTCTTCTTTCAGTTGAATCCAGTTCCAGTGTGCCTGCCATAGTGTATCTCACCTTTTTGAGTGTGATCCTAATGTTTAAAAATGCACACATTTTCTACAACACGGCCAGTAAATACAAGCCAGGTATTTATTTCATCTGGACCTCCAGCAAAGGTACAGGATCTGTTCCAAAACTGGAGGGAAAATTAGTTGTGCCAAATTTATTGAGAGATAGCACAGGTTTCAACGTAGTACCCTGCAGAGGGATTTTCAAAGGTCATCTTGACTATACAAAATGTTAAACTTGGACAAGCAATTTGGTACCTAACTTGGAGAGACTGAGACTCCACTAAAACTCTCACTTCTTGACGTGTTATACGTGGTAGGGGCCCACATATTTATGGACTGGACTAGAGGCAGAAAGATGGCTTTATGCCATTTCTTTTTGAGGACTGTCCCCATGCCATAGCTCCATAGCACCTTGTCTACTTCTACAATAACAATAAGCATAATGCTGGCAGAAGCAATAGCAAATACTTGACTTATTTAATCCTTAAAATGACCCAAGAGGGCATATACTGTTATTAACCCAATTTTATAAATTAAGAAACTAAGCGCAGAGTGGTTAAGTAACTGGCCCAACCTCACAGAGGTAGTAACATAAGAACGCAGAGTGCCTACTCTGACCTACCTCACCATCCTGCCTTTGCCCCTTGTGAACTAACTGCCTATGTCCTTGTCTGTCTCTCCCATTAGATGGTGAGCTCCTTCAGGACAGGGACTGTGACTTATCCATGTTTAGGTCCCCCAAACCTGGCTTCTAATGTCTGCACGTTTAACACCAAGACTATCCTATGGGGAAATTTAAAATGAGAAACAGGCAATAACAGGCATCCTTGGATCAGTGTGTCAAAACCTTATTCACTTCAGTTTAGTGTCCCCAAAAGTCTCTTACAATATGTCTATCAAAGACCAAGAAGTCCTTTTGAACTCTGAATTCTGTTTTTTTCCAACTTGTCATTGGTTGAAGTAAACCTAAAGCCATTCTGAAGAATTTTGCATAGTATACCAGGAGACTCCACTGTATT